AGTTATCCAATAAATATTATACTAACCCTAACCCTAACCTTAACACTAAACCGTACGCTTTTTTATAGTAATTTAAATAATAGTTTATTATTATATACTAGTGTACCCGTCCCCTTGCGTTGCCGTGGGGTTAGCAGAAAGTCTGAGGATAGTCCGGGGCACCCTACCGGTGATTCAGCTGACGCGCCTGATTCAGTTTAGTCAACGACGCTTCGGGTCGCGCAATTGACGGTGCGCCTGTTGCAGTTTTACCGCTGAATATAGTAGTACCCCTTACCCGCTCTGCAAGACGCCCGATTAGCGGATACTACGTGCTTAGATAGCAGCTCTTGAACTCTGAACGCCACACAGTGTAATAACAAAAATCGCACCCTAACCCTCAGAGGCGCCGCTCATAATACTTTTTTTTCCCGCAGAATATATATTTCGTATATAGAGAAAAATCGCATTCTCCCGTGGCGCCGCCCTTACGAAATAGAAAAAAATAATTTTTTGCAGGAAATTCCCCTTGGGTGTTCTAATCAACTCCCCAAAGTTTCATGGCGATGAGATGAACGGTGTCAAAGCGCAATCAACTTTTATTTTATACACCGTATATAGAGAAAAAAAATAATTATACACCGTATATAGAGAAGAATCGAATCGCGCCCTGTCGGGGCGCCACTCCTAAGAATTTCAAAATTTTTCTTCGCAGAAACCTCTCCAACAGTATTTTCAACAGCTTCCTAAAGTTTTATGGCGATCGGATGAAAGGTCCAGTAGTGCATAAAAGATAAATAGACATTGGCCCTACATTGCTGAGTATCGCAACATTTAACTCGTTACATAAATAAACCCTACTCTAATACTTACAGTACGACAATGCGATGCAAGTAAAATCACGGCATGGGATGTTTACCTTTAAACTTCCCAAATCTATAGCATAAAACACCCACAATATGATGAATGATGTAGTAATGCATAAAACACACACAATGTGATGAATGATGAAGTAATGCATAAAACACACACAATGTGATGAATGATGTAGTAATGCATAAAACACACACAATGTGATGAATGATGAAGTAATACATAAAAAACACACAATGTGATGATGTAGTAATGCATAAAACACACACAATGTGATGATGTAACAATGCATAAAACACACACAATGTGATGATGTAGTAATGCATAAAACACACACAATGTGATGATGTAACAATGCATAAAACACATACAATGTGATGAATGATGTAGTAATGCATAAAACAACCACAATGTGATGATGTAACAATGCATAAAACACACACAATGTGATGATGTAACAATGCATAAAACACACACAATATGATGAATGATGAAGTAATGCATAAAACACCCACAATATGATGAATGATGTAGTAATGCATAAAACACACACAATGTGATGATGTAACAATACATAAAACACCCACAATGTGATGAATGATGTAGTAATACATCAAAAAACCCACAATCCCACCCATAAATACACAGCCAGTGTCCATTCGGAAAATCGGCCTTCGGGCAAACGGCATTCGTGCAAGTGTCCATTCGGGAAATCGACCTTCGGGCAAACGGTATTCGGGCAAGTGTCCATTCGGGAAATCGGCCTTCGGGCAAACGGTATTCATGCACAACATTTCATGCATAAGTATTGTATTGATATTGTAGTTTTCTGTCAAATTTTGACCTTTTCCCGTTAACCGGTTGTGGTATTTACTCTACGTCCGATTTATTAAAAGTCAATAACTTGAGTTGGGTACAAGAAATTCAGAATATAAGTATTGCATTTTATGCGCACGTTTCTATCAATTTTTACAAGCTTTTATTTAACTCGCTTCCTCTGTCGTCAGTCTAGATCGAAACGCTGAAGTGAAAATTCGGTCACTTCTACTTTAATAACAAGCTTTTATGTACTAATGCACTAAAAAGTAGAAAAAAAATTATAGCCTACTATTTAAATTACTATAAAGAAAAGCGTGGGCCACTTTAGTATCTATTGGATACCTTTACTAATATTTAGGAAAGTAAGTTTGTCCCTGGGAAGGGTCTCTATGCCTCTGGGGGGGGGGGGGGGGGGGGAAGGTGACACCATTAAGTGCCGCACCGGGTGACACCCGACCTCGCTACGCCACTGGGTTAGGGTTAGGGTTAGGGGTAGGGTTTTTGCACTGGCAAAAACATATTTATTCTAAATATTTAGCAATTTTTGTCTAGGTGTCACCACTCGCTCCTAAATGGTGTCAACTAGACAAAAATAGGGTGGGGTTGGGTGGGGTAGGGTGGGGTGGGGCTAACTCCACGGACCGTAACCAATCCACGGACCCTATGTGCTAGGGTAGCCACTCGGGAACTCCGGGCGCTAAACCATACATTATTGCCATTAACTCCGGGCGTTAAACCATACATTATTGCCATTAACTCCGGGCGTTAAACCATACATTATTGCCATTAACTCCGGGCGCTAAACCATACATTATTGCCATTAACTCCGGGCGCTAAACCATACATTATTGCCATTAACTCCGGGCGCTAAACCATACATTATTGCCATTAACTCCGGGCGTTAAACCATACATTATTGCCATAAACTCCGGGCGCTAAACCATACATTATTGCCATTAACTCCGGGCGTTAAACCATACATTATTGCCATAAACTCCGGGCGCTAAACCATACATTATTGCCATTAACTCCGGGCGCTAAACCATACATTATTGCCATTAACTCCGGGCGCTAAACCATACATTATTGCCATTAACTCCGGGCGCTAAACCATACATTATTGCCATTAACTCCGGGCGTTAAACCATACATTATTGCCATTAACTCCGGGCGCTAAACCATACATTATTGCCATTAACTCCGGGCGTTAAACCATACATTATTGCCATTAACTCCGGGCGCTAAACCATACATTATTGCCATTAACTCCGGGCGCTAAACCATACATTATTGCCATTAACTCCGGGCGCTAAACCATACATTATTGCCATTAACTCCGGGCGCTAAACCATACATTATTGCCATAAACTCCGGGCGTTAAACCATACATTATTGCCATTAACTCCGGGCGCTAAACCATACATTATTGCCATTAACTCCGGGCGCTAAACCATACATTATTGCCATTAACTCCGGGCGTTAAACCATACATTATTGCCATTAACTCCGGGCGCTAAACCATACATTATTGCCATTAACTCCGGGCGCTAAACCATACATTATTGCCATTAACTCCGGGCGCTAAACCATACATTATTGCCATTAACTCCGGGCGCTAAACCATACATTATTGCCATTAACTCCGGGCGCTAAACCATACATTATTGCCATAAACTCCGGGCGTTAAACCATACATTATTGCCATTAACTCCGGGCGCTAAACCATACATTATTGCCATTAACTCCGGGCGCTAAACCATACATTATTGCCATTAACTCCGGGCGCTAAACCATACATTATTGCCATTAACTCCGGGCGCTAAACCATACATTATTCCCATTAACTCCGGGCGCTAAACCATACATTATTGCCATTAACTCCGGGCGTTAAACCATACATTATTGCCATTAACTCCGGGCGCTAAACCATACATTATTGCCATTAACTCCGGGCGTTAAACCATACATTATTGCCATAAACTCCGGGCGTTAAACCATACATTATTGCCATTAACTCCGGGCGTTAAACCATACATTATTGCCATTAACTCCGGGCGCTAAACCATACATTATTGCCATTAACTCCGGGCGCTAAATCATACATTATTGCCATTAACTCCGGGCGTTAAACCATACATTATTGCCATTAACTCCGGGCGCTAAACCATACATTATTGCCATAAACTCCGGGCGCTAAACCATACATTATTGCCGGGACGCTGGAGATGGTGTATGCGATTGTATTTGCTCATTGTCTACTTAGTATAAGGGTTAGGATTAGGGTTTGCTCATTGTCTACTTAGTATAAGGGTTAGGGTTTGCTCATTGTCTACTTAGTATAAGGATTAGGGTTAGGGTTTGCTCATTGTCTACTTAGTATAAGGGTTAGGGTTAGGGTTTGCTCATTGTCTACTTAGTATAAGGGTTAGGGTTAGGGTTTTCTCATTGTCTACTTAGTATAAGGGTTAGGGTTTGCTCATTGTCTACTTAGTATACGGGTTAGGGTTTTCTCATGTCTACTTAGTATAAGGGTTAGGGTTTGCTCATTGTCTACTTAGTATAAGGGTTAGGGTTAGGGTTTGCTCATTGTCTACTTAGTATAAGGGTTAGGGTTTGCTCATTGTCTACTTAGTATAAGGGTTAGGGTTAGGGTTTGCTCATTGTCTACTTAGTATAAGGGTTAGGGTTTGCTCATTGTCTACTTAGTATAAGGGTTAGGGTTTGCTCATTGTCTACTTAGTATAAGGCACCCTATAAATCGACTCTAGAGTTAGAGAGGAAGTGGGGGAGACCCTGGTGTATTTCGACATTTGAATCAAGTAGTAAACTTACCTTCTTCCCCCCCCCCCCCCCCCCCCCACTACTCGCGACCGAACGCTCAATCAGCAGACCCCTGGTGCTAAAGTAGCAGAATTTACACGTCATTTACACGTCATTTACACGTTATTTACACGTCATTTTAACTTTGTAAACGGTGAATTAGGGTTAAGGTTATATGTTTAACTTTGTAAACGGTGAATTAGGGTTAAGGTTATATGTTTAACTTTGTAAACGGTGAATTAGGGTTAAGGTTATATGTTTAACTTTGTAAACGGTGAATTAGGGTTAAGGTTATATGTTTAACTTTGTAAACGGTGAATTAGGGTTAAGGTTATATGTTTAAAAAACCCATTGCTACCATTGTGCTTCCATGAGTTTATATTAAAGAAATGTATTTCTCTCTCTCCAGATTGTTTAAGACTAGTGCCGACCTAAAGAAAAGTATTTCTCTCTCTCCAGATTGTTTAAGACTAGTGCCGACCTAAAGAAAAGTATTTCTCTCTCTCCAGATTGTTTAAGACTAGTGCCGACCTGCAGAACATGTTCCATGCTTTTAAAGACATTCGATCAGACGATGAGCTGAGGTCAAATGACGCCCTAGAGAACCACGCGACTCTGGTCATGACGACATTAGATGACGCCATCACCCACATCGACGACTACGAGTTTGTGAAAGAAGTTCTCTACAAAACCGGCGGATCTCACGTCAAATTTGCTGGCTTCAAGTCGGACAACTTTTTGGTAATTGTCATGATAACATATGGCTGACAAGTGACGTCATTGTTTAATCTTGTCGATGAAGATTGACTGGAAGTCACGTGCATGGGGAAGGGGCACAACCTAATGAGTGGTCGAACAAATGGGGCACAACCCAATGAGTGGTCGAACAAATGGGGCACAACCCAATGAGTGGTCGAACAAATGGGGCACAACCCAATGAGTGGTCGAACAAATGGGGCACAACCCAATGAGTGGTCGAACAAATGGGGCACAACCCCACTATGCAGGAGTGTGGCTACCCTAGCACATGGGGTCCGTGGATTGGTTAGGGTCCGTGGATTGGTTAGGGTCCGTGGATTGGTTAGGGTCCGTGGATTGGTTAGGGTTAGGGTCCGTGGGTTAGGGTCCATGGATTGGTTAGGGTCCGTGGATTGGTTAGGGTCCGTGGATTGGTTAGGGTCCGTGGATTGGTTAGGGTCCGTGGATTGGTTAGGGTCCGTGGATTGGTTAGGGTCCGTGGATTGGTTAGGGTTAGGGTCCGTGGGTTAGGGTCCATGGATTGGTTAGGGTCCGTGGATTGGTTAGGGTCCGTGGATTGGTTAGGGTCCGTGGATTGGTTAGGGTCCGTGGATTGGTTAGGGTCCGTGGATTGGTTAGGGTCCGTGGGTTGGTTAGGGTCCGTGGATTGGTTAGGGTCCGTGGATTGGTTAGGGTCCGTGGATTGGTTAGGGTCCGTGGATTGGTTAGGGTCCGTGGATTGGTTAGGGTCCGTGGATTGGTTAGGGTCCGTGGATTGGTTAGGGTCCGTGGATTGGTTAGGGTCCGTGGATTGGTTAGGGTCCGTGGATTGGTTAGGGTCCGTGGATTGGTTAGGGTTAGGGTCCGTGGGTTAGGGTCCATGGATTGGTTAGGGTCCGTGGATTGGTTAGGGTCCGTGGATTGGTTAGGGTCCGTGGATTGGTTAGGGTCCGTGGATTGGTTAGGGTCCGTGGATTGGTTAGGGTCCGTGGATTGGTTAGGGTCCGTGGATTGGTTAGGGTTAGGGTCCGTGGGTTAGGGTCCATGGATTGGTTAGGGTCCGTGGATTGGTTAGGGTCCGTGGATTGGTTAGGGTCCGTGGATTGGTTAGGGTCCGTGGATTGGTTAGGGTCCGTGGATTGGTTAGGGTCCGTGGGTTGGTTAGGGTCCGTGGATTGGTTAGGGTCCGTGGATTGGTTAGGGTCCGTGGATTGGTTAGGGTCCGTGGATCGGTTAGGGTCCGTGTGGGTTAGGGTCCGTGGATTGGTTAGGGTTAGGGTCCGTGGATTGGTTAGGGTCCGTGGATTGGTTAGGGTCCATGGATTGGTTAGGGTCCATGGATTGGTTAGGGTCCGTGGGTTAGGGTCCGTGGATTGGTTAGGGTCCGTGGATTGGTTAGGGTCCGTGGATTGGTTAGGGTCCGTGGATTGGTTAGGGTCGGTGGATTGGTTAGGGTCCGTGGATTGGTTAGGGTCCATGGATTGGTTAGGGTCGGTGGATTGGTTAGGGTCCGTGGATTGGTTAGGGTCCGTGGATTGGTTAGGGTCCGTGGATTGGTTAGGGTTAGGGTCCGTGGATTGGTTAGGGTCCATGGATTGGTTAGGGTCGGTGGATTGGTTAGGGTCCGTGGATTGGTTAGGGTCCGTGGATTGGTTAGGGTCCGTGGATTGGTTAGGGTCCGTGGATTGGTTAGGGTCCGTGGATTGGTTAGGGTCCGTGGATTGGTTAGGGTTAGGGTTAGGGTCCGTGGATTGGTTAGGGTCCGTGGATTGGTTAGGGTCCGTGGATTGGTTAGGGTCGGTGGATTGGTTAGGGTTAGGGTTAGGGTCCGTGGATTGGTTAGGGTTAGGGTTAGGGTCCGTGGATTGGTTAGGGTCCATGGATTGGTTAGGGTCCATGGATTGGTTAGGGTCCGTGGATTGGTTAGGGTCCATGGATTGGTTAGGGTCCGTGGATTGGTTAGGGTCCGTGGATTGGTTAGGGTCCATGGATTGGTTAGGGTCCGTGGATTGGTTAGGGTCCGTGGGTTAGGGTCCGTGGATTGGTTAGGGTTAGGGTTAGGGTCCGTGGATTGGTTAGGGTCCATGGATTGGTTAGGGTCCGTGGATTGGTTAGGGTCCATGGATTGGTTAGGGTCCGTGGATTGGTTAGGGTCCATGGATTGGTTAGGGTCCGTGGATAGGTTAGGGTCCACGGATTGGTTAGGGTCCATGGATTGGTTAGGGTCCGTGGTTTAGGGTCCGTGGATTGGTTAGGGTTAGGGTTAGGGTCCGTGGATTGGTTAGGGTCCATGGATTGGTTAGGGTCCGTGGATTGGTTAGGGTCCATGGATTGGTTAGGGTCCGTGGGTTAGGGTCCGTGGATTGGTTAGGGTCCGTGGGTTGGTTAGGGTTAGGGTTAGGGTCCGTGGATTGGTTAGGGTCGGTGGATTGGTTAGGGTTAGGGTTAGGGTCCGTGGATTGGTTAGGGTCCGTGGATTGGTTAGGGTCCGTGTGTAGACTTGGACATCTATACTTATTCCACGCGAAAAACAAATAATTCAACGCTGCAACGTTATGAAAAAAGAACAGGATTCTATTTTAAGTCAAATAGTTGTGAGCGGCTGATGATTTATTTTGTATTATTTTATTACATAGACATATTGCTCAAAGACAATTTCACTTTAGGAATGTGTGCCTTATCACAGTGTTTCTACATAATAAAAAAGAGTGTCACAATAGTAATGCAAACATATAAAGTTTTGATGAGATATTCCCAACAGTAGGCCAACATAAACCACTGCGAATTCTTGTATCATTTCCTGTTACAACTAGCAAACAACTAGTGGCGTAATAAGGGGAGGGGTTGAGGGAGCAGCAGCCAAGGACTATTTTTAGAGACCCTCAAATTTATGTTGTGTGTAGTTTATGTTGTTTGTAGTTTGTGTTGTGTGTAGTTTATGTTGATATGTGTTGATTAGATTGTTTTTACAAGCTTTTATTTAACTCACTTCCTCTGTCGACAGTCTGTTGACAGTCTGTCGTCAGTCTAGATCGAAACGCAGGAGTGAAAATTCGGTCACTTCTACTTGACCGATACGATTCACATTTGACACGTGGGTCAATACATGAAGACAATGCAATCTGAAATTAAATTTGACTTAATTGGATGCCTAATTAATTTTTTATGAATTAATTAAAATTTGGACCGAATCAATAGGCATGTCTATCCAACCACACCACACGCGTCATCACGTTCAATCGCTGCGCCATCACCTTCAGTAGGCGCGCCATCACGTTCAATAGACGCGCAATGGTTTTTAGTCATGTAACACTATTGTAAATAAAACATGTAAAGTACTGAAAAAAAAATTCATAAAAAACGTTTTAATAACAAGCTTCTATGTAATGATGCACTAAAAAGTAGAAAATAAATTATACACTACTATTTAAATTACTATAAAGAAAAGCGGGGGTCTCTTCTCAAATATTAGTAAAGGTATCCAATAGGTACTAAAGTACTAAAGTACGCTTTTCTTTATAGTAATTTAAATAGTAGTGTATAATTTATTTTCTACTTTTTAGTGCATCATTACATAGAAGCTTGTTATTAAAACGTTTTTTATGAATTTTTTTGTATTGATCATTATTGTACTTGTGTGTAGCTACTGTTTTATGATTCGTGTTGTAATTTTGCTGCTGTCTGTTAATGTAAAGATAATTGCCCTAATGAGAGAGGAAAATATCATTTACAATTTCAGGCGATTAAAGAACCATTCTTAGAGGCGGTACGTGTGACGCTAGGGGACAGGTACACAGACAACATGCAAAACATCTACACCATCGCTATCACCTTCATCCTACAGACTCTGAAAGACGGGATGGATGAAGCCTTAGGAGGATCTGCTCACACATCAGACGTACGCTCAGGCGTTTGATGGACATCTCTCTGTACATACATCATCTACTTCGCCTTAAGTTCTTCACTAGATTTAGTTGTGCGACTGGAGTTTTTGATCTCATTAACCAGTACTTGATACATGACTTGATACATGACTTGATACATGACTTGATCTAACATTGAATCAGAAGAATACCTTGACTGGAATCTTACATAATTCTAACAGTTCATTTTAAGAAAGAGAAAAAAATTATCAGTGTTACTTCGAATAATTCTTTCTTAGGTCATATAATTTAACTTAAATCAAACGGTAAAAATTGGAGGTTTAACTCAGATGAAATTCTACGGAGGGAAGTCTAGCCCTGACTTATGATATAAAACTCAGTTGAACAAGCGTCAAGTTTACAGATGACATTCCACGTCATAACTCTAGCCAAGCTTAGGGTCTTAGCGCGGGTGGTTAGGGTTAGGGTGAATGTTAGAGGCATGGGTAGGGTTAGGGTTAGAGTTAATGTTAAAGTTAGAGCTATGGGTAGGGTTAGGGTTAGAGTTAATGTTTAAGTTAGAGCTATGGGTAGGGTTAGGGTTAGAGTTAATGTTTAAGTTAGAGCTATGGGTAGGGTTAGGGTGAATGTTAGAGGCATGGGTAGGGTTAGGGTTAGAGTTAATGTTAGAGGTATGGGTAGGGTTAGGGTTAGAGTTAATGTTAAAGTTAGAGCTATGGGTAGGGTTAGGGTTAGAGTTAATGTTTAAGTTAGAGCTATGGGTAGGGTTAGGGTGAATGTTAGAGGCATGGGTAGGGTTAGGGTTAGAGTTAATGTTAAAGTTAGAGCTATGGGTAGGGTTAGAGTCTTAGCGCAGGTGGTATAATAAATATGATAACATATTGTAAAGCAAATTTATGTTAAATGTTAAATCTATAGGTTGACCCCAATCTTGTGTTGACCTAATTATTGGTATTGTGTTAGCAATCTGGGGAAGATTTAGGGTTAGGGTTAGGGTTAATGTTAGGGTTAGGTTAATGTTAATGTTAGAGTTAGGGTTAGGGTTAAGGTTAATGTTAGGGTTAGGGTTAGAGTTAGGGTTAGGTTTAGGGTTAATGTTAGGGTTAGGGTTAGAGTTAGGGTTAGGTTTAGGGTTAATGTTAGGGTTAGGGTTAGGATTAGAGTTAATGTTAGGGTTAGGGTTAGGATTAAAGTTAATGTTAGGGTTAGGGTTAGGGTTAGAGTTAATGTTAGGGTTAGGGTTAGGGTTAGAGTTAGGGTTAGGTTTAGGGTTAGAGTAAGGGTTAGGTTTAGGGTTAATGTTAGGGTTAGGGTTAGGATTAGAGTTAATGTTAGGGTTAGGGTTAGGGTTAGAGTTAATGTTAGGGTTAGGATTAAGGTTAATGTTAATGTTAGGGTTAGGGTTAGGGTTAGGGTTAGAGTTAATGTTATGGTTAGGGTTAGGGTTAGGGTTAGAGTTAGGATTAAGGTTAATGTTAATGTTAGGGTTAGGGTTAGAGTTAGGATTAGGGTTAGAGTTAATGTTAGGGCTAGGGTTAGAGTTTGATTTTGAGGGTTAGGATTGCTAGTAAACTACTTACATTAGTGTAAAGTCATCTAACGTTCCCCTCTATGGTATTGTAATGTCAAGTATAAGCAATTCTTTGGGCGCTGTGTTCCAATCAATGTTTTTTTAATGCAGTTCTCGATTTGATGCTAAATAATTAGATGGTTATATTCGTAGTTAGCGTTAGATGATTAGATATGTAGAGAGCAACTTGTATAATTAATAGAAACAAAATATTATGTAAATAATTTTCTTTAAATATATTGAAGCAATTTTATTAGATTTCATTGTGCTATTTTTAGATGTTTTGCTATATCAAAATGTAATGTTTATTTGAGTAAATTTGTAGTTTGTCATCAACTAATAAAATGTAACTTATTTCTCTTTGAATACGTTCATCTGATCATTTGTTTCCGCTCTCCACATTTCTCACGCTATTAATTCAGTGTTTCTTCCAGACTTTTTTCTCCGGGGGGGGGGGCACTTGAAATCTTCGGGGGGGGCGGTAAACTTTCTTCGGGGGGGCGGACACTGTTAAAAGTATATATTTTCTATATAAATTATATAAATTTCATTTCGTTCGGGGGGGCGGTAAAAATTTTTCGGGGGGGCTTTGCCCCCCCGAAGAGATGCCTGGAAGAAACTCTGTATTAATTGTTCCCAGTGTCACGTTATTATTTGTTCCCAGTGTCACGCTATTATTTGTTCCCAGTGTCACGCTATTATTATTATTTGTTCCTGGTTATTACTCTAAAAGCATTTAATTAAATTTTAATGACTAATAAGATTAAAAATTATATATTCTTGCATTGTCATGGAACTCGAACGCGGGTTTAAATTGATTTTTAAGGTTTTCCGCAACCAACAAGCAAACAAACAAACATATATTGTGAACTAAATAAAAATCTTATAAAATGTTTAGAGGGCAGTTTGTAGGTCCATTTTTACTATCTTGTAGTCGCGGAAAAATCGAAATCGAGATTTTCATAAATCTCGACGTTTTACACCTCTCTTAGTCGGAAAAACTTAGTTTCATAATTTGTCCGTATGTCTGTGTGTGTGTGTGTGTTTGCGCGTATGTGTGTGTGGGTGTGTGTGTGTGTACCGTAACAGCTAGGTTGATGAAATTTCACAAATAAGTATTTTATCAAATGTGTAGTTCTGTATCAACTTTTTAGCGATTTCTGTAACAAGTGGAACTTATTCTACTTTTGGTTTTTCAAAAGCCTATAACTTGAGTACTGTTTCAGGTAGATAAGCGAAATTTCACATGTAAGTAAAAGATCTAATTCTCTGCCTTCTATCGAATTTTGAGTAATTTCTGTTGACCGGAAGTCGTACTTTATACTATTTTCGATTTCTCAAAAAACGAATATGAATTTATAAAGTACTAATATTCAGCACTATTATACACGTTGTTTGCCGTTTACTTGGTGCGCAATTCTTTTTTTCTACGAGATTCTGTTCTATTTTTAAATGTTTAAATAATTAAAAATTGATTAAAAGTCATGTCTATACCCCGAGTTGCATTCCCCGTAGGGTTATAAAAGAATGTTTGAGAATGTTTAGGGGAGATCACTCCCGGTTTATTGATCGTGTCTTTAGAACAATCTCGAAAATAGTACTTTACAGTTTTGATTTATCAGTAGCAGAGTATTATCAAAATGGTTACATGACAAATGATCTCAGGACAAATGATCTCAGACAAAATATCTCAGACAAAATATCTCACAGACAAATGATCTCAGGACAAATGATCTCAGGACAAATTATCTCAAGGACAAATGATCTCACGGACAAAAGATACCAGGACAAAATATATCAGGACAAATGATACCTTGGACAAATGATCTCAGACAAAATATCTCAGACAAAATATCTCACAGCAAAATTTTAATAGTATACACGATAATTGTAGTTGTTTTGAACATTTTTATTGACTGTCATGTGGTTTTGTTTACTTTTTTACACATAATAATACTGCTTTGTTTGCATACACAATATGACGAACTTTGCTCCGCGATGACCGCTGTCGTTTAAATAAGCATTAGTCAATTGGTCACTAAGGTGTGACCGACGCATAATTATTGACTAGTTGTATTGTTCACGGGGGACGGATGTCTTTCCTTTAAAGCAGGTCTCTGTAATCAAAGCGTGCGGCCACCTTGATACGAAGGTGTGTCTTTATTGTTATTCCATTTGATATAGTTTCATCAACCTGACATGGTAGGTTTGTCTCTTGTTTGGCAGGCACACCTACGCTATCTATAGAACAATTACTTTAATCTCAGCATATTATATTAGTAATCTTAATTTTAAAATGTTTAGTGGAAAGTGACAAATTTATGCGGCAAACATTTCTTAAAATTATTATATTGGCCTGTAAACAATATTAAATAAATAAAAAACATAAGAGCGTCAATAAAAAATTTTCAGAACAACTAAAATCATCCTACACAATATTAAAATTTTGATCTGAGATATTTTGTCTGAGATATTTTGTCTGAGATCAATTGTCCTGAGATCATTTGTCCTGAGATCATTTGTCCTGAGATCATTTGTCCTGAGATCATTTGTCCTGAGATCATTTGTCCTGTCACCATCAAAATAGTATCAGTCATGTTGCTGTGCCCTAATCAGAAGTTGTACCGTAGCCATTTGAAAATTATATTATTAGCTGATTCTTATGAGAAAAAGCAATTAAACGCTCATCTTTTTGGTTTAATTTACTAATTTTATTGTTAAAATGTTTATTAGGTAAATATAAAAAGCATGGCTATATTCTTCTAAGTTCTTCAAATTTCGACCAAACCAAAAACAGCCTTCCGTTCAACTAGCTCTCTTAAGTTGCAAAAAACTAACATGTAGCTAGACAAAACTAACATGTAGCTAGACAAAACTAACATGTAGCTAGACAAAACTAACATGTAGCTAGACAAAACTAACATGTAGCTAGACAAAACTAACATGTAGCTAGACAAAACTAACATGTAGCTAGACAAAACTAACATGTAGCTAGACAAAACTAACAACGTAATACCGCCACTAGCTGGAAAATCATACATAAAGTGTTTGATCTTTTTTTTTTAAATTCTAATTTATTTGCTCTACAATCAGGTTCCAATTTACTTGCAAAAAACGTCTCCACCTCTCCCAACCTCCCCCAACCTCCCCCAACCTCCCTCAACCTCGGAAAAAGTCGGTGAAGGGTCCTTTATTTTAACGGTACAAAATCAATGTAGAAAACTGTTAGATTAGTGTGTAAAGCATTTTAACATTTTATTTTCTTTGACTTTGAATAATTCAATACATCAGCTCAAAAGAACTTTTTTTTTTCTGCTAAATTTTGAATGCTCTAAAATAAAAAATAAATAAAAATAAACCGGGAGTGATCTCCCCTAAACTTTCTCGAATATTCTTATATAAAATAACAGGGGATGGGAACTCGGGCTATAGACATAATTTTTAATCCATTTTAAAAACTTAAAGTTTTAAAAATAGAATAAAATCTCGTAGACAAATAAATTGCACACCAAGTGAACGCCAAATAAAAAAGCGCATAATAGTGCGCAATATTATTATTACTTTTAAAATTTACATTAGTTTTTTGAGAAATCGGAAGTAGCGTAAATTACTACTTCCAGTCAACGGAAATGACTCAAAATTTAACAGAAGGTAGAGAATTAGATCTTTTACTTACGTATGAAATTTCATTTATCTATCTGAAATAGTACTCAAGTTATAGGCTTTTGAAAAATTCAAAGTAGGAAAAGTACCACTTCCGGTTATCGGAAATCGCTCAAAAGTTGATACGGATCTACGATTTTGATTAAATACTTATATATGAAATTTCATCAACCTAGCTGTAACGGTACTCAAGTTATCGTGTTTACACACGGACAGACAGACAGACACACAGACACACAGACAGACACACAGACATACGGACAAGATTGCAAAATTATGTTTTTCCGTATCAGTGAGGTGTGAAACGTCGAGATTTGTAAAAATCTCGATTTTTTTTTTTTGCACGATTACAAGACTTTCTCTATACTTCGTATATACGAGAAAGTAAAAAAAGCAACCAATACCTAAAATTCTCGATTCCACCAACGCCATTGTCCATTGTCACGTGAATATATATTGGATAAGAAAATCTATCTGATTTCTTTAGAAACAAATTCAAAAATCTTCCTCCCGACCCCCGCCTACCCCAAATTACACTGATTTCCCCATAACTATAACGAAAACCGAAAACCTTAAGATTAATCTCCAGTTAACCTTTCAGGTGAAATAACCTACCAAATGAATACTGGCCTACTTTATTACTGAAAAGAATTCAAATAAGTTTGTGTTCACGTTCATGTTCACAAATCCCTCCCAGTTTACAGTCTCTCCAACAATGGAGCATTTATTTTTTGATCAACGTATTAAGTGCACAAGTCTAGCAGACGACAACATTCCTGCGAGGTGCTTAAGGATCCGATCCATCAGGATTCTTCTCGAAAACTACAATTTGCTGTTCAAGCGAGTGGAGTTGGGAGACGCGAGCAATTGCACGTCTCTCATTTAGTTCACCATAAAAATTATTCTTTTGCCTAATTTTTTTTTGCATAATATTTTGATTTGACACTCCATTGGACAAGTGAGGTAGATGACACCTAAACATGTTTCTGTGAGTGTGGTTGACACTCTGCATTACATGTTAACCATGGACACTCTGCATTACATGTTAACTATCGACACTCTGCATTACATGTTAACTATCGGTAGCTCAAAGGAAATGTCACAGCAACGTTGATTTATTTTAAACTCTACCGAGAATAGCCGATTAATTTTTTTTTTTTAAATTGAATAAAAAACGTTTAATTAGACGTTTTTATGTAATAATGCACTAAAAAGGAGAAAATGAAAGATTTTCTGTAAATATATAATAACTAGCCGTCTCCACCAGGCCCTGCACTAGCCTCGGTGAAAAACCTATCTGTAAAGGACCATGACTTGTGTGTTTATTACGAAGAATATTTCCATTATTGCCCGGGTTTACGAATAGGCCTATATTACTTTTTGAATTAACTCTAGCCACAAACAACCAAAACCAAAGGACAAAAAAAAAAAAGAAGAAAAAAAACGCAAACAGAAAACAAACACAAATACAAACACTAACGGAAACACAAACGCAAACAAAAAACAAACGAAAGCACAAACCCAAATCCAAACCCAAACGCAAACACAAACACAAACACAAACGCAAACCCAAACACATGAAAACGCAAACAAAAAAGAAAACAAAAATCAAATAGAAACACAAACGCAAACCTATACGCAAACAATACATCAAAGTAATGCAAATAAACGCAAACATAAACACATACTTAAATGCA